TGACGTGCTGTTGGAGTGTGAGCAAAGTAACATTTATGAAGGGATTCAGGGAAACCGGCAGGCCGGACTTGAGTCCTGGAGATGGGAAGTACAGTGCCTGCACTCTGAAGGAGGGGTGTTAATGTTGCAGTTTAAAAACTGTAGTGTAAAGCACCCTTCTGGCAAGACAGTGATGGAGTGAATGATGGTGAAAGTTTTTCTTTTTCGGGCCACCCTGCCTTGGTGGGAATCGGCCGGTGTGATAATAAAAAAAAAATAAATAAAATGATACAAAATTGTACAATGAATTTTAATAGTTGGGTGAACATGCCAAAAGCCCCTTGTATGCAGAGCATTATGGGCAGGCTTAAAATTAACTTAAAATTAACTTTCGGTTGTGTATAAAAGTCTGATATATGTTTATACTGTCATATATTAACTGAGCAATAGAGCTAGGCCTAAAAAATGCACATACAGTACACACATTACTTAACCCGTAAACGGTCCAAACGTATATATACGTTTTTTCAACATTTAAAAGTATGTAAAAAAGTAGATCTTTTTGTTTTTTTACATTTGAAAATGTGTAAAAAAACTTTGATCTACTTTTTTTTTTGTTATATTTGAAAATATGTAAAAAAAACGTAAATCTACTTTTGTAGCACCACACATGTGAACGTAGATCTGCTTGGACCGTTTACGGGTTAAAATATTTTCGTCCTTATCTTATAGCGAACGGTGAACATATTTAAATAACAAAAAGGCACAATACCGTGACTGGAACGATACACAAATAACCCGCACATAAAAGAGAGAAGCTTACGACGACGTTTCGGTCCGACTTGGACCATTGACAAAGTCAAAGTGTGACTTTGTCAATGGTCCGAGTCGGACCGAAACGTCGTCGTAAGCTTCTCTCTTTTATGTGCGGGTTATTTGTGTATGGTGAACATATTTATTGTAGGAAGTCTGAATACATGAAGAATGGGTGTGACTGAAAACCACTACATTAGCAAAATGCTGAAAAGTGAAGCACTGTAAAGCCAATGCTTGCCTGCATATTTGAAGGTAATACTGTATGTTCCAAAAGTATTGACTCTTCTTGCTAGTGATGTATGTGGACACTCCATCTTAGGAAATTGTATGTCACAGGTTTCCTTTACTGCATCCTATTACCAGTTATTGCACGCTTGCACATCTGTTTGCGAATTGGTACTACTCTAAAAATATTTGTAATCATTATGCTAGCTGAGTGCTGCCAAATTATGTAAATATTTGTAGTGGAAGGTGCGTGTGAGGCTAAGAATGTGTTCTATCTAAATATAAGTGGCAGTATTTGTTTAGAAAAACCCATAAGAGAACACTAGGACATATTTATTAGAAAATGTTTCAGTAGTGGGACCTTGATCAAGAAATCAAGGTCCCAGGACCCAAACATTTTGTAATATGTCCTAGTGTACACTTACATGTTTTTCTAAACTAACTTGTTGGTATCTATTACCAAGGTTTATACCAGTAGCAGTATTATGGATACAGGAGGGCCCTGCTTATACAGCAGGTTAGGTTCCAGGCTACTGTAGGGCCCTGCTTATACAGCATGTTAGGCTCCAGGCTACTGTAGGGCCCTGCTTATACAGCAGGTTAGGTTCCAGGCTACTGTAGGGCCCTGCTTATACAGCAGGTTAGGTTCCAGGCTACTGTAGGGCCCTGCTTATACAGCATGTTAGGCTCCAGGCTACTGTAGGGCCCTGCTTATACAGCAGGTTAGGTTCCAGGCTACTCTAGGGCCCTGCTTATACAGCATGTTAGGCTCCAGGCTACTGTAGGGCCCTGCTTATACAGCAGGTTAGGTTCCAGGCTACTCTAGGGCCCTGCTTATACAGCAGGTTAGGTTCCAGGCTACTGTAGGGCTCTGCTTATACAGCACGTTAGGTTCCAGGCTACTGTAGGGCCCTGCTTATACAGCAGGTTAGGTTCCAGGCTACTGTAGGGCCCTGCTTATACAGCACATTAGGCTCCAGGCTACTGTAGGGCCCTGCTTATACAGCAGGTTAGGTTCCAGGCTACTCTAGGGCCCTGCTTATACAGCAGGTTAGGTTCCAGGCTACTGTAGGGCTCTGCTTATACAGCACGTTAGGTTCCAGGCTACTGTAGGGCCCCACTTATACAGCAGGTTAGGTTCTGGATGTCAGAACTATTCAAGGTAAATACAAGGTCCAGTCTTGCTGGTTCATCTTCTCCTCTCTCTCTGGTAGTGTCTCTAACATGTTGATGCATGAGGTTTTCCAGTACCACATCCATCATCTTGGCTCTCCATGTTTCGGGATCCCCATGGGGCTCCAGGTTTTCCCAGTCAATCTCCTTGTGATTGAAATCACCCATAACTAGTAACTTTGCTCCCCCCATGTGTGCTCTCCTGGCCACCTCGGCTAGTGTGTCGATCATTGCTCTGTTGCTCTCATCGTATTCTTCTCTTGGCCTCCTGCAGTTCTATGGAGGGTTGTACATTACTGCAATTATCACCTTATGTCCCTCAGACTGGATTGTTCCTACTAAGTAGTCCCTTTCGCCCGTGCCATCCATTCCTTCCATTTTCTCAAAACCCCACTTTAATTTTAAATACATTTTTTTTAATCAGATTTACAAAGCTCGCTCTGTTAAGGAGCTTTGTAAGATAGCCTTTTGTAATTGTTATGGGGCTATAGGACCCAACATGTATTTATAAGTAACAGTTACTCTGGAATATCTAATTATATTGAATTGATGGGGACTTAGCTCTAAATGTCATAAGGACTGATCACCCTTAGGGCGAAACGTTTCCTGAATAAAGATTTCCATATGCTGCATAAGTGTCTCAATCTTCAACTTGTCGGTTTTTCAAACCATTCATCACAACTGTCGGACACTGCAGCATCATGGGATCTTGTTACAAAGAATTCTTCAACACTTGTTCAACCTTTGGACGAAGACCTACTTCGACTAGTGGATGGTACCACTATGACCCCGCCTCCATCTGCTTCACGTCACCTCACTACAGTATATAAGCCACGTCTACGGCCCTATGCTGTACATTCTACAAGATTGATGGACTGAACACATCGACTCCAGGTTGAGGGACTGATTACCTCATTCTCCTCCTCTCCTTACGCCTTCCTCTTTGTATTGGACTGATGAAGCCACTGTGTGGTGAAACGTTTCCTGAATAAAGATTTCCATATGCTGCATAAGTGTCTCAATCTTCAACTTGTCGGTTTTTCAAACCATTCATCACAACTGTCGGACACTGCAGCATCATGGGATCTTGTTACAAAGAATTCTTCAACACTTGTTCAACCTTTGGACGAAGACCTACTTCGACTAGTGGATGGTACCACTATGACCCCGCCTCCATCTGCTTCATGTCACCTCACTACAGTATATAAGCCACGTCTACGGCCCTATGCTGTACATTCTACAAGATTGATGGACTGAACACATCGACTCCAGGTTGAGGGACTGATTACCTCATTCTCCTCCTCTCCTTACGCCTTCCTCTTTGTATTGGACTGATGAAGCCACTGTGTGGCGAAACGTTTCCTGAATAAAGATTTCCATATGCTGCATAAGTGTCTCAATCTTCAACTTGTCGGTTTTTCAAACCATTCATCACAACTGTCGGACACTGCAGCATCATGGGATCTTGTTACAAAGAATTCTTCAACACTTGTTCAACCTTTGGACGAAGACCTACTTCGACTAGTGGATGGTACCACTATGACCCCGCCTCCATCTGCTTCACGTCACCTCACTACAGTATATAAGCCACGTCTACGGCCCTATGCTGTACATTCTACAAGATTGATGGACTGAACACATCGACTCCAGGTTGAGGGACTGATTACCTCATTCTCCTCCTCTCCTTACGCCTTCCTCTTTGTATTGGACTGATGAAGCCACTGTGTGGCGAAACGTTTCCTGAATAAAGATTTCCATATGCTGCATAAGTGTCTCAATCTTCGACTGAGAGGCAGCTGGGTCAAGCCTTTTTTCTCAATATAATAGGATATACTATAGACACACATACATAATTTAAATAAGTAGTTTATAAAGTTGTATTTCTTTTTGTAAAAGTAAATTAAAGTGTGGTAGAATTGTGGTAACAAGAGAATTGTGCTTGGCAACAGTCTTTTGTTTTTGCTGGGTGTGGGAGGAGCTTAGCTAGGCTCCTCCCCCTCTCTCTCTCTGTTGACATGGCAGGACCTCTGGACCCATCTTCTATCTTCTTTTGGGGCATTATGTGTGCTCCAAGGATGAGTTTTTATAACTTAAGTTGTGGCCACCATACCCAGGGTGACTAAAGTGTGTCAAAACACTGGTTAGTCCAGAGTTAGTCAAGAAGAGAGAAGGACAAAGTTGCTGAGATGCACCATGTGGGAGAACAGCTATGGAGTGTGTAGATTTTTGTTTTAAAACCCCTCAAGGAAGGTTCCTTGATGTTGGTGAGGGGCTCTTGATTTAGGGAATTGGATCTGTGCTCCAGTTCCCCGAATTAAGCCTGAATGCCTTCCACAACCCCCCCCCAGGCGCTGTATAATCCTCCGGGTTTAGCGCATCCCCCTTGATTATAATAATAATAATATGGAGTGTGTAGATTTTTGTTTTGAAAACGTGAGGCTGTGATTGTATCTTCTGTACATATCTATTTAGAATACAGTTATATTTTTATAGTAGTAGTTTAAATAACCTGTGAGGAGGGCTGGTGAAAGGATATCAGAGACACTCAAGATGATCAGCCATTATGTAAGTATTACCCCTAGACAGATACGGCCATTAAGTAAAAGCTACCCCACACTAGAACATGTAGTGAGAACCTTACTATCAAAGTAATAAGGGACGAACCAACGTAACAGTAATATCCTATCAAGCTTCCTTTGGAAATTATTAGTTTTTCAAAAAGTTTTGTGTTATGACTTGAAATTAGTAGATCTCACCCTATAATGTTTCAGTAATCTATTTGAATGCATATTTCCCTGTTTTTTTAGCACCCACTCCTTGGACCCACATCACAGTCCGAGGTACAAAGTGCTTCCAGTCACCAATAAATGGTTGGTACCTCTCCGATGGTAAACACAACTGCCTCAATGGTGCTGATATTAGTGACGTTAAGAGGACCATACATCCTGACAACACATACTATACCTTTCAGGTAAATATAAATAAATTTCAGTAAATATTTGGAGTTCGAATGAAATTTGTGTGTATAGTAATACAGTATACAGGTGGTACTTGACTTAAGATGGGGATACATTTTGACAAATCCATCATAAGTCAAAAATATCGTAAGTCAAATATGAATACTGTATGATATGTTAAATAAATAAGTGAATACATAACCTCTGTCACTGAATAAGTAAATAAACAAATAATTACTGTAACGAAATACTAGTATACTGAAAAGTACAGTGGACCCTCAACCAACGATGGCCTCGTATAACATTAAATCCAACTAGCGATACATTTTAATGCAAAAATTATGCCTCGATTAGCGCTAAAAAACTCGACCAACGCGATTCGTTCCGTTTGAGACGCGTCCACTTGTGGCCTGAGCGCGCCTCACTTGTCCCGTGTGTGTCAGTGTTTATAAGCCAGCCAGCCACCGCGGTCCCATCCAAACATACAATCGGAACATTTCATATTATCACAGCGTTTTATGTGATTGTACCTGCAAAATAAGTCACCATGGGCCCCAAGAAAGCTTCTAGTGCCAACCCTGTGGTAAAAAGGGTGAGAAATACTATCGTACCACAGTCAGCTGCTGCTGCACCACCATCAGCTGTTGCTGGACCAGTCAGCTGTTGCTACACCACAGTCAGCTGCTGCTGCACCACAGCTGCTGCTGCACCACAGTCAGCTGCTGCTGCACCACAGCTGCTGCTGCACCATAGTCAGCTGCTGCTGCACCACAGCTGTTGCTGCACCACAGCTGCTGCTGCACCACAGCTGCTGCTGCACCACAGCTGCTGCTGCACCACAGCTGCTGCTGCACCACAGCTGCTGCTGCACCACAGCTGTTGCTGCACCACAGCTGATGCTGCACCACAGTCAGCTGTTGCTGCACCACCATCAGCTGTATTACTCGAAGATGTGGAGTGTGTGTTGTTGGTATGGCTTAATGTGAAACAATTACCGAGAAACGGTTAACACCAGAGGGTTAGCCACCCAGGATAACCCAAGAAAGTCAGTGCATCATCGAGGACTGTCTAACTTATTTCCGTTGGGGTCCTTAATCTTGTCCCCCAGGATGCCACCCACACCAGTTGACTAACACCCAGGTGAACAGGAAAAAATGCCTGGAACTAGTGCTCATATTGGTGAATTTAAGGCCAGCAAAGGTTGGTTTGAGAGATTTAAGAATTGTAGTGGCATACACAGTGTGATAAGGCATGGTGAAGCTGAAAAATTCCAACCCCAACAAGTGTTTAATTGTGATGAAACAGGCGTGTTCTGGAAGGAAATGCCACACAGGACCTACATTACTCAGAAGGAAAAGGCACTCCCAGGACACAAGCCTGTGAAAGACAGGCTAACTCTCATGTTTTGTTGTAATGCTAGTGGGGATTGCAAAGTGAAGCTTTTACTCATGTAGCACTCTGAAAATCGCAGTGTTCGAGAAAAACAATGTCCCATCACTCATCAATACTCCTCTCCTGCAGCCCATGGACCAGCAGGTCATTGCAAACTTCACTTTCTCCTCCTCCCATCTCATCAATCATCACCAGATCTTCAATAAAGGTAAGTGTCATGTAACTGTACATGTCTTCTTCTGTTTGTGTGTATTAAAATTAATATTTCATGTGGTAAATTTTTTTTTTCATACTTTGGGGTGAGTTGCACGGATTAATTTATTTCCATTATTTCTTATGGGGAAAATTAACTCGACTAACGATAATTTCAACTAACAATGAGCTCTCAGGAACGGATTAATATTGTTGGTCGAGGGTCCACTGTAATTGCTTTTGCACCGTAAGTACATAAAGGCGAAATACTGTAAGTTGAACCATCGTAAGGTCAAGGAGCACCTGTATAGTAGTTTGTAAGATTCGACCATATTAGAGCTGAGATTCAGTTGCTGCATCTCATTATTTCATTATCACAGCCATTTTGACATCATAGACTTTTGTAATATTATGGTAACGTACAATGGAAAAAAGACATGAAATACATACACTAGGACATATTATTAGAAATGTTTTGGTCATGGGACTTCCCATGATCAAGATCTTAGAACGGAAATTTTCCTACATGTCTTCGAGTTTATAATTTGTGTCTTTTTCAGCATTTATACAGTACAACCCCATATCTGCAGATTCGTTTTCCACAGTTTTAATTATCCATGGTTTACTGTAGCCCCGAAAATAACCCTTAATTTTGTTTAATAATGACCCCAGAGTGTAAAAGTAATGATGTTGGCAGTTTTTCAAAGCTTAAGAGAATCCCTTCATAAATGTTCCCCACCCACCGGGTGGCCTGGTGGCCTGGTGGCTAAAGCTCCTGCTTCACACACGGAGGGCCTGGGTTCAATTCCCGGCGGGTGGAAACATTTCGACACGTTTCCTTACACCTGTTGTCCTGTTCACCTAGCAGCAAATAGGTACCTGGGTGTTAGTCGACTGGTGTGGGTCGCATCCTGGGGGACAAGATTAAGGACCCCAATGGAAATAAGTTAGACAGTCCTCGATGACGCACTGACTTTCTTGGGTTATCCTGGGTGGCTAACCCTCCGGGGTTAAAAATCCGAACGAAATCTTATCTTATCTTATCTTATCTTAAGAAAGGTTCCTTGATGTTGGTGAGGGGCTCTTGATTTAGGGAATTGGATCTGTGCTCCAGTTCCCCGAATTGAGCCTGAATGCCTTCCACATCCCCCCCAGGCGCTGTATAATCCTCCGGGTTTAGCGCTTCCCCTTGATTATAATAATAATAATTCATAAATGTTACTTTACCACAACACACTATTTTTAGCGTGTTGCTTTCTGAAGCACATTATAGTCATTATTAGAGTCTTCTTAAAAATATTGTAATGATTTTTTCTGATAAATATGGCACCAGACACTAGGTCCTGATGCCATGCAGGGTTTTCAGAATACAAAGGTGATAGCATAGCTGACACATATGATGTACCCACAAATTATAAATGAAATACAGTGGACCCCCGGTTAACGATATTTTTTCACTCCAGAAGTATGTTCAGGTGCCAGTACTGACCGAATTTGTTCCCATAAGGAATATTGTGAAGTAGATTAGTCCATTTCAGACCCCCAAACATACACGTACAAATGCACTTACATAAATACACTTACATAATTGGTCGCATTCGGAGGTGATCATTATGCGGGGGTCCACTGTATGGCCCCTGGGTCCACCTTATGTGTGGTCACTACCTGGGCACCTTCCCTGCCCTAGTCAATTAGAGGAGATTATATTTATTATGAACTAGTATATGCCACTCTTAGGGTGGTTAAGTAGCAGATGTGGTTAGTTACTTTAAAATCAGAGTTACTTTACAATTAGATCTTGTAAAATAGATTCTTATTACTTGACTTTTCATGTTTTTTTGAGTGAACCTCTGAGTGGAGTCCACCTTACAATACTGTACTGTATGTTTTAATGGTTCAGGAAGTTCACCGTCCATCTGTGTGTCCCAGCAGCTGTTGAGTCCAAGTCAGCAGTCTCATACAAAAATTAGTTCTACTGAATGTAACATATAAATGTAAATACACAACTGTAGATATGTACTTTATTTTTTTACGAAGTGCCAAAGAATGGAAATGCACAATACCATGACTGGAACAATACGCAGATAACCCGCACATAGAAGACAGAAGCTTATGATATTTCAGTCCGACTTGGACCATTTACATAGTCACACTAATACAAAAGAGTGAGGGAGCCAGTATATATAGGCAAGAGGGGACAGGAATGGGACTAACAGAGGATATAAAAGAAATAATGGTAGTGGTAAGGCTGGCAGTGGAAATAGTGGTAGAAGTAATTAGTGGTAATAGTGGTAGTCATCATAAGCTTCTCTCTCCTATGTGCGGATTTGTGAGGTCAAACATTTAGTAATTTGTACTGTACATTAAAAATTATTTTCTTGTTGAACAGCTGCATCAATTGTTATTTGTGGATTTGATGTTCAGTGCATCTAGGAAGATAATCCTGTAAATACTGAGCTTCTGCTGAATTTAACTAATTTAACCCTTATTCATGTAAATACATATATGCCTCACTGTTTGTTACAATAAAGACATTTTTTTTTTTTCGTGTAGCTGTATCATGTTAATAATTTCCAGGCCTTGATTTTTAAGAGAAGGAAGGAATCCTAAATCATAATTATTTAAACTTTTCAAACCTTCAGGTCCCCGAGATGAAAGGCGTTACAACGGTGGGCTTCTCAAGATGGCAGTGGAGACTATATGGTGTGCTACGCCTGCATCTACTGTTTAATGATGGTAGATGCTAGAGTGCGTCAGTGTTGTGTTGCATGTAGAGTTCAGGTGCTCCTTGACTTACGACAGAGTTACGTTCTGATGAACCCATCGTAAGTCAAAAATACCGTACAGTATTTTTCAGCATATAAGGTGCACGATCGTTTCCAACCAGTTGCAACGTAACGTTAGTAAACAACTGCTAAAATATAACCCAAAGCCTGCCCTTGATTCTGACCCTGAGCCTATAAGGTGCAGGCTGATTTTCCAAGACTTTTAAGGGGGTTAAATGCACTTTATATTCCAGAAAATATGGTAAGTCAAATATAAGTATATGCTAAATATATAAGTAAATAAATAAATAATTACTGTAACAAAATACCAGTATTGAAAAGTAAATAAATAAATACAAATTGTAGACTTGCTGCCTTCATGCTGGGTAATTATCTTAAGTTTCATCTCCAAAGTACAGTGGTACCCTGAGTTTCGTACATACAGTGGACCCCCGCTTAACGATCACCTCCCAGTGCGACCAATTATGTAAGTGTATTTATGTAAGTGCGTTTGCACGTGTATGTTTGGGGGTCTGAAATGGACTAATCTACTTCACAATATACCTTATGGGAACAAATTCGGTCAGTACTGGCACCTGAACATACTTCTGGAGTGAAAAAATATCGTTAACCGGGGGTCCACTGTAATTCATTCCAGAAGGTTGTTCGAGTGCCGTTACCGAATGAATTTGTTCCCATAAGGAATAACGTCAATTAGATTAGTCCGTTTCAGACCCCAAAAAATACACTTACAAAAGCACTTACAATAATACACTTACATAATTGTTCAAGTTGGGAGCTGTACGAAACTCAGGGTACCACTGTAATTGTTTTTGAACCACTGCAATGCTGAACCATCGTAAGTCCAAGTGTGCCTACCTATAGGTAGTAGGTTCCCAATTTATAATGTTCCAACTTAGTTATCAACTTAATAATGAGGCTCAAAGATATAATATGAAGAAAACTTTCTGTATATCAGTTTGCAATTACAAATATACATGTCACATTATCATTTTTTTCTCTATCATTTTCAAGAGGATAATAGGGGTTAAAAGTGACTTATTTCTAAGTTGAAACACTGAGAACACAAGTTGAGGCCGAACTGTACAGCATTTTCTTTTGAAAACTTCACTTACCATACGAAAGGGAAATATACACAAATAACCCGCACATAAAAGACAGAAGCTTACGACGACGTTTCGGTCCGACTTGGACCATTGACAAAGTCACAGTGTGACTTTGTCAATGGTCCAAGTCGGACCGAAACGTCGTCGTAAGCTTCTGTCTTTTATGTGCGGGTTATTTGTGTATCGTTCCAGTCACGGTATTGTGCCTTTTTGTTATTCGAAAGGGAAACCTTGAAAACTTATCTTGAAGATGTATTGATTAAAGAATTGGTCAAAGCTTCATGTGTACTATTAGGGTTGATACAATACAGTGAAATCTTGTTTTAATGCACTAGTGTAAAGGAGACGGTGTCTGGTAGTCCCAATTATTCGATAAATCTGAAGAATGTGACTGTTTTCTGTGATCATAACAGTAGCAGATAATTCTGGAATTAACAGACTTTGTCCATTAAATTCAAAATCATTTTATCCAGAGGACTGCAACAGTTATTTATTTATTTATTTATTTATTTTATGTCTTTGCAAACAGTACATTGAGATTTTGTATTTACAATAGTGGGTTGCAATGCAAAGAGAGCCTCTATTATGCCTAGGCATTATGGGCAGTAATGGACAAAAATGATATGATGGGCTAAACAAACCTCTATTGACACACAACATTTTGCTCTTATGAGAGATTAATACAGCTATACTCTGAGCAAAACATCTACACATAATGGTTTAGAATTTAACCAACTTTGTTGTTTCTGGACTTTATTTAAACAACAGATTTTGTCTTTTAAATCTGAAATTTGTTAGAATAAGAGTTTACTGTATTATAATGCAGTCTCTCCTCGCTTAGCGACATACCTGTTAACCGATGACTTGTATTTACGCTGGGCTCTGACCAGTATGATGTGTATTACGGCTGATTTCCTCTTTTCTGTTTATTACAATGTAGAGTACACTACTGTATAAACATTTAAAAATATACTAAAAATGTTATAAATGGCACAAAACCCACTACCATTATAGTATGATCCTTGCTTAGCAACAAATTTGTTTACCGATGTGGTCTTATGTTGTATATATACATACTGTAATGTGAGATGCAGTGTATTACAAAAATTTTACATAAAAGACCTATATTGTTTAGAATTTTTATTACAGGGCATCTATCAAGGCACAGTAACGACATAGTCTTGAAGTCACAACTAGGATACATGAGCAGTGATGACCTGTATAAACCTACACTGATTGCAACAAACTATCAAGAACGCAAGCTATACTGCAGTTATGTAAAAGAACACGTGTTTGATGGAACAACATATGACTGCTCTCCCCAGGTGGTTGTGGTTCTGTACTCGCTTCACCATGAATACTACCTCATCAACATGATGATTCCTCATCACAGGGAAGATACAAATGAATGGGTTAATCGGAATTTTGGACGTGTTAAAGATGTGTATATAACGGTGAGTACAAAGGCAATTATTAATTCGTTTAAAGTTCATGATTAAAGATAAAATGATACTGTGAGATCCTTCCTAGAATTGGAAATAATATATTATAGGTATGTCCATGGGGAAGTGGAAAAGAATTCTTCCTCTGTAAGCTATGCTTGTCATAAGAGGCGACTAAAATGCTGGGTAGCACATGGCTAGTAACCCCTTCTCCTGTATAGATTACTAAATTTAAGAAAAAACTTCATTTTTTTTTTGTTTCAGGTCACCCTACCTTGGTGGGATATGGCCTGTTGGTTGAAAAAAAAAAGGAAATTCCAATATGTTTAAGAACATTAATTTCTATTGTTCTCAACAGTTTTTCAGTCTGGCTGATTGGTACACAAAGTTACTAGTATTGCTGCAGACACTTTTCTTCCCTGTTGTGATCACCATCTTGTGGAAGTTCAGAAAGAGTGTGGGCGAACTTGAACGGCCTCCCACCCACCTTGAGTGTGTTTTGGCACTACTGGCTGTGGCTCTTACCATAATGAACTGTAAGTTTACCTCTCTTGTTGTAGACCAAGCATGTGTAAGAAAGAAATTACAATAAATGCTTGACTGCAAATACAGGAGGGCCCCATGCATATAGCACCTCTTTTCGGTGTTCCATGTTTTTGTTGGCTTTCACTTGAGCCATTGTTCGTTATGTTCGGTGCTTTTACTGCTGCTCAACCATTATTGCCATTTTTGTACAACTGTGTAAGGGCAGGACAAATGGTGCCATATTTAGAGCTGTATGAAGAGGGCCCTTCTGTGTACAGAAATACCACAGTGAAAATACAAAAAACACCCAAGTATTCTTATGTGCTTACACATCCTCAGAGGAATTCCTCTGAAGATGTGTGTGTAAGCACATCGTAGTGCTCAGGTGTTTTTTTCTATTTTCACTGTCGTATTTTTATATCGTGTGTATATATTTATGATGATTGAGGTACTTCTACAACACTTGGGTATCTTTATTGTGGAAATGTTTCTTCGGTCCAATACAGAGAAAAATGGTGGTAGATGAGGAGTTTAAGGTAATCAGTCCCTCAGTCTTGAGTCATTGTGTTCAGTCCATCAATCTATAATATGCATTTATAATTACATTATGTAAATATTATGCATAGAATTTGTAGTTTGGAAATTAGGAGGTGTGAAGTTACAAAAAGTATTATTCAGAGGGCTGAAGAGAGGTCATTGAGGTGGCTTGGTCATTTAGAGAGGATGGAGCAATAATGATTTGGAGGGTGTATAAATCTGTACTGGAGGGGAAGAGGGGCAGGGGTCATCCTAGGAAACAATGGAGGGAGGGGGTAAAAGAGGTTGTGTGTGTCAGGGGCCTGGACATACAGCAGGCAAGTGTGAGTGTGTTAGATAGGAGTGAATGGAGACGAATGTTTTTTGGGACCTGACGAGCTGTTGGAGTGTGAGCAGAGTAATATTTTGTGAAGGGATTCAGGGAAATCAGTTAGCTGGACTTGAGTCCTTGATGTGGGAAGTACAGTGCCTTCACTTTATAGGTGGGGTTTGCGATATTGACTGTCTGGAGTGACATCTAAACTGTCATATCTGGGCACCTCTGCAAGGACAGTGATTATGTGTGAATGATGAAGAAAGTGTTTCTTTTTCTGGGTCACCCTGCCTAGATGGGAGACGGCTGAAAAAAAAGAATACAGTGGACCCCCGCATAACGATCACCTCTGAATGCGACCAATTATGTAAGTGTATTTATGTAAGTGCGTTTGTACGTGTATGTTTGGGGGTCTGAAATGGACTAATCTACTTCACAATATTCCTTATGGGAATAAATTCGGTCAGTACTGGCACCTGAACATACTTCTGGAGTGAAAAAATATCGTTAACCGGGGGTCCACTGTACTTGTAAGGTATTTCTTATCAAACTTATGTCAGATTCAGTAGTTATTGCTCACAAAATTGTAATAACTCGATTACAAACAAATCACTGAAAGGGTGGGGTTTGAACCAATGGCAGGTGAGTACTAAAACTCAGAGTCCAGTGTATACTGGTCTGTGAGTTTTAGCTCTCACCCACCATGAGTTCAAACCCCACCTGCTCTATGATTAGATCAGTAGTCACTGCAAACTAAGTGTTTACATAAATTAGGTGAAACCATGAAGGGAACCAGTCACTAGTGGCAGTCCATAAGGCTCAGCTTTTGGCCTATTGTTGTTCATAATCTACATTACTGGCCATGATGAGGGAATAACAAGTGACACGGGTAAGTTCACCAAGGAGAATACCATTGACTTTCAGGCAGATTTGGATATACAGTGGACCCCCGCATAACGATTACCTCCGAATGCGACCAATTATGTAAGTGTATTTATGTAAGTGCGTTTGTACGTGTATGTTTGGGGGTCTGAAATGGACTAATCTACTTCACAATATTCCTTATGGGAATAAATTCGGTCAGTACTGGCACCTGAACATACTTCTGGAGTGAAAAAATATCGTTAACCGGGGGTCCACTGTACTAATGTCGCAGTGAGAAAAGTAGCAGATGCAGTTTTTTCTGGATAAGTGTCAAGACCTGAACCTTGGTAATGAAAATGACCTTCCTACTTAATAAAAATAATAATAATCTTTATTTCTACAGGTACACGATACAACTTATATAGACCATAGGTCAATTTTATCCCCAGTATGCGACAAACACCAGTCGACTAACACCTAGGTACCTATTTTACTGTTACGTGAACAGTGACAGTAGGTGTCTTAAGGAAACACGTCCTAATGTTTCCACTTGTACCGGGGATCGAACCACGGACCTCAGTGTGTGAGCTGAGTGTGCTAGCAATGTAGAACTTGGTCATGCAGGGTTTGAAAGGGGCTTGGAAGTCTTGGTAATAGAGGTCCGAAGCGAAGACACTAGTGCCTAGGTGTGTGCAATAAGGACACTAGTGCCTAGGTGTGTGCAATAAAGACACTAGTGCCTAGGTGTGTGCAATAAGGACACTAGTGCCTAGGTGTGTGCAATAAGGACACTAGTGCCTAGGTGTGTGCAATAAAGACACTAGTGCCTAGGTGTGTGCAATAAAGACACTAGTGCCTAGGTGTGTGCAATAAAGACACTAGTGCCTAGGTGTGTGCAATAAGGACACTAGTGCCTAGGTGTGTGCAATAAGGACACTAGTGCCTAGGTGTGTGCAATAAGGACACTAGTGCCTAGGTGTGTGCAATAAGGACACTAGTGCCTAGGTGTGTGCAATAAAGACACTAGTGCCTAGGTGTGTGCAATAAAGACACTAGTGCCTAGGTGTGTGCAATAAGGACACTAGTGCCTAGGTGTGTGCAATAAGGACACTAGTGCCTAGGTGTGTGCAATAAAGACACTAGTGCCTAGGTGTGTGCAATAAAGACACTAGTGCCTAGGTGTGTGCAATAAAGACACTAGTGCCTAGGTGTGTGCAATAAGGACACTAGTGCCTAGGTGTGTGCAATAAGGACACTAGTGCCTAGGTGTGTGCAATAAGGACACTAGTGCCTAGGTGTGTGCAATAAAGACACTAGTGCCTAGGTGTGTGCAATAAAGACACTAGTGCCTAGGTGTGTGCAATAAAGACACTAGTGCCTAGGTGTGTGCAATAAAGACACTAGTGCCTAGGTGTGTGCAATAAAGACACTAGTGCCTAGGTGTGTGCAATAAAGACACTAGTGCCTAGGTGTGTGCAATAAAGACACTAGTGCCTAGGTGTGTGCAATAAGGACACTAGTGCCTAGGTGTGTGCAATAAGGACACTAGTGCCTAGGTGTGTGCAATAAAGACACTAGTGCCTAGGTGTGTGCAATAAAGACACTAGTGCCTAGGTGTGTGCAATAAGGACACTAGTGCCTAGGTGTGTGCAATAAAGACACTAGTGCCTAGGTGTGTGCAATAAAGACACTAGTGCCTAGGTGTGTGCAATAAAGACACTAGTGCCTAGGTGTGTGCAATAAAGACACTAGTGCCTAGGTGTGTGCAATAAGGACACTAGTGCCTAGGTGTGTGCAATAAAGACACTAGTGCCTAGGTGTGTGCAATAAGGACACTAGTGCCTAGGTGTGTGCAATAAAGACACTAGTGCCTAGGTGTGTGCAATAAAGACACTAGTGCCTAGGTGTGTGCAATAAGGACACTAGTGCCTAGGTGTGTGCAATAAAGACACTAGTGCCTAGGTGTGTGCAATAAAGACACTAGTGCCTAGGTGTGTGCAATAAAGACACTAGTGCCTAGGTGTGTGCAATAAGGACACTAGTGCCTAGGTGTGTGCAATAAGGACACTAGTGCCTAGGTGTGTGCAATAAGGACACTAGTGCCTAGGTGTGTGCAATAAGGCTAACAGATTACTTGGACTTACTGTATCCCAAGAGGTATAAATAACAAATGTCCGAAGGTTATTTTACAGCTCTTTACATCACTAGTAAGCTCTCGCTTAAATGCTTTAGAGAACTGGCACGTTGATAAGTGAGACACTTGTTTAACATTTAGGTATTGTTTCTCTGGAAACGTTTTGCCAGCAAGTAGCTTCTTCAGTCCAGTACAGAGAATGATGGAAGATGAGGAGGAGTTTGAGGTAATCAGTCCCTTCAACCTTAGGTATTAGGTTAGGTCTCCCTGAAATGCCTCGGCACGATTGTGGTTTTCTTTGTACCGTCAAATTATGAAATGTAAACACATTATAACCTTTGCAAAGAAGGAAATTTTTGATTTTGATTTTTTGATTTGAGGTGATGTATTCCGTCCATCAATCTTGATAGAAATGTGGCATATGGGCATATTTCACTTATTTTTATGCTTCAATGAGTATCACACTTTTTCTGTCTTATAAACATGCAAGATAAGCATGCACTATAAGAGACAACACAGTAAGTGTCAGGGGCCCAAGATTATTCAACTGCCTTCCAGCATACATAAGGGGGATTACCAATAGACCCTTGGCTGTCTTCAAGAAGGCTCTGGACAGGCACTTAAGTCAATACCTGACCAGCCGGGTTGTGTTTTTTTATGCCAGTTTGCGTTTGGCCAACAGTAACAGCCTGGTTGATCAGGCCATGATCCACCATTAGGCCTGGTCACAGACCGGGCCACAGGGGCATTGAATCCCGAAACCCTCTCCAGGTATATGTCTTGTTACTTCTTCTTACACTTAGGTCACACTACACATACACGTACAAGTGTATATATATACACCTCCAGGTTTTCTTCTATTTTCTTACTAGTTCTTGTTCTTGTTTATTTCCTCTTATCTCCATGGGGAAGTGGAACAGAATTCTTCCTCCGTAAGCCATGCGTGTTGTAAGAGGCGACTAAAATGCTGGGAGCATGGGCCTAGTAACCTCTTCTCCTGTATATATTACTAAATTTAAAAAGAGGAATATTTGTTTTTCTTTTTTGGCTGCCCTGTCTTGGTGAGATATGGCCGGTTTGTTGAAAGAATATGTGGGGTTAAGCATTTTTCTTATATCTGAAGTGCTAGAGCATCTTGAAACACTAAATACTATTAAAAAAACAACATTATAACATTAATAACAACAACAGTAAAAAAAAATCATAATTTGGCATCAGTAGACTGTGACATGCAAATATCACTGGCGCAGATATGCCTCTGTAGCTGACAAGCAATAATCATTTTGCCACATTCAACACATGATAAAAGCATAAGTTTATATCAGATTCCATTAAATTTAGTCTCATTTGATTCATAAAAATGCACTCTTTTAATCCATAAGGTTTTTTTTTAAATCTTTTGATTCGGGAAATTTATTTTCCAGGTATGCTACAACTAAATGGTTAAAATATTGTTAAAAAACCCACTTGGTAAACTGTACTCTTGCATAATTTATTTTCAGTGATTAAGATAAGATAAGATAAGATAAGATTTCGTTTGGATTTTTAACCCCGGAGGGTTAGCCACCCAGGATAACCCAAGAAAGTCAGTGCGTCATCGAGGACTGTCTAACTTATTTCCATTGGGGTCCTTAATCTTGTCCCCCAGGATGCGACCCACACCAGTCGACTAACACCCAGGTACCTATTTGCTGCTAGGTGAACAGGACAATAGGTGTAAGGAAACGTGTCGGAATTTCCACCCGCCGGGAATCGAACCCGGGCCCTCCGTGTGTGAAGCGGGAGTTTTAGCCACCAGGCCACCGGGCCACCATTATTATAGACAGTGATTATATGTAAATGATGGTGAAAGTGTTGAATGATGGTGAGAGTATTTTTCTTTTTTGGGTCACCCTGCCTAGGTGGGAGACAGTCCATCATGTTAAAAAAATAAACTATAAATTGTGTGGACAGTTCTGTATTAGGTATATGGTATACCTGGAGAGGGTTTCGGGGAGCAGCGCCCCTGCGGCCTGGTCTGAGACCAGGTCTTATGGTGGATCAGGGCCTGATCAACCAGGCTGTTACTGCTGGCTGAACGCAAGTGGACGTAGGAACCACAGCCCAGCTGGTCAGGTACGTACTAGCTTTAGGTGCCTGTCCAGTGCCTTCTTGAAGGCAGCCAGGGGTCTATTGGTAATCCCTCTTATGCATGCTGGGAGGCAGTTGAACAGTCTTGGGCCCTGACTCTTATTGTGTTGTCTCTTTGTACTCGTGACACCCCTGCTTTTCATTGGGGGAATGTTGCATCTCCTGCTGAGTCTTTTGCTTTCATAGAAAGTGATTTTTGTGTGCAAGTTTGGTACCAATCCCTCTAGGATTTTGCAAGTGTATATTAACATGTATCTCTCTCGCCTGCATTCCAGGGAATACAAATCAAGGGACTTCATCCGTTCCCAGTAATTTAGGTGCCTTAATGTACTTTAGTACTTTTTCTGCAGAGAATCATCCCTATTACTCCATTATATCAAGAGTGTATACAGGTATACTCCAGGTATACAGGTATACTCCAGGTATTTACATTATATTTATGGTAGAAGAACAAGGGGCTAGTAATTTATTACTAAATGTAAAACAAAAAAAAGCTTTTGTTTCTTCATTTCTGGGCCGCCTGCCATGGTGGGAGACGGCCGCTGCATTAAAAAAGAAATGGCATATACTGTATATACTTCACATTATGCGGTAAATGTCATGTTTATTTCAAAATTTTATTTCTTTGCATAGTATACAATGTGAGAGTTACATGTTATAAAATACTGTTAAACACAAAGAAAGTTTCTAAGATACTTGAGTATTTCAGGATGATTAATAGTAATGTTTACACACTACCTAAAACTAGACATAGGTTATGGGCTGGTAAATTTTAATTATTCATTATTTTACATTATTTGTGTGCTTGTTTAAAAGTTTTCAGTTCTCAAATATTTTTGTGACATTGCAGGTCCCTTGGAGATTGTAACGCTCGTTGCTGACTGTCCGTGGATGATCGTAGTTAATGACATTCGACATAACTTTTTCTATGCTTCGTTCATGACTTTCTTCCTATACCTTACTGATAAACATCTGGAGGTAAGACAGTGCTAGGCACTTCACAGTGCATGAAAAATACTCATATAAGAGCATGGATATCAGTGAAATCTGATGATCTAAAACTGATTTAAGGGTTATTCAGCATTTTCATTATACAGACATTCCTCGGTATCCGCAGGGCACTGGTTCCAGACATCCCCCCGTGGATACCAAAATCTGTGGATACTCAAGTCCCTAATATAAAATGGCATATAATCCATGCACATCCTCCCATATACTTTAAATCACCTCTAGATTACTTATAATACCTAATACATACAATGTAACTGCTATGTAAATAGTTGTAATACTGTATTGTTTTGGGCAGTGGTTTTCGACTGCTGGTCCGAAGAAATTTTCTGACGGTCCACAAAAAAATTATTGCTGGCGCCTCAGTCATGAATGGGACAGCACAGCTTGCGATGACGAGTACAGATACACACTTCATTTAGTGTTTAGTCAGTCTTGTGTCGAAAACACACATTAGTCACTTCCTTAGCAGTCTGTGAAATGTTTCACCTATTTTTCCCACTCTGCAGATGTCAAAAGGTTGAAAACCACTGGTATAGGGACTAATGATAACACTAAAACCTTGGTTCTCTCTTGATAACTCTCATGTGATGATGATTGCTGTATGGTGCCTACAATGCTGATGTAGTGAGGTGACGAGAAGTGTGGCACTGTAGGTAAGCAATGAGATACCAGGGTAGCTTGAGCCTTTTCAGAGCATATTGGAAGGATCACCTATGTTGGAAGAACCAGGTTCTGATTGCAGATGTTTACACTTTGGAGGAGGGCACAATAATAGTAGTGTCAGGATCTCTGGAGGTTGAGCACTGAGAATCTTCAAGCGTTGAAGGTTGAGGCTTCACAATTGTAGATGATTTAGTTAGAAACATTGTTATAGGAAGCTGTTTCTTCTTTTTTTTTGCATCATCAAACAAGCCTTGCAGTGGTTGTAGGCACATTGTTATCCCTCGGGTGACACAGAGACTTCGTTCCGTTGAAGGATTGTACTCGAGGATCATGTCCTTTAACACTTGTGACTGTTGAAAAACTGCTTTAAATTTTTCAAGTGTTCAGACTGATGGTTCTGCCTCCTCTAAATCTTCTGCATCATCATCGTTTTTTGTAGAGGATTTCAGCAGATCTCTGCAAGCCGTACTAGTTTGGCACCAACCCTGAGAGGGTTAACTGTTATGGTGTTGATCTCTGCATCTCTGCTAGTACTCCGAATATTTTGAATTAAAAAAAAAAGAGGGCAGTTTCCTGTGTGTAATGAGAAAACCAAAAAATTTAGTTAGTACTTTTCGAGATATAAGTTGGCACTGGATGCTCATGTGATGGCAACATAGTCTTGCCGCTTGCAAAAATATTGCCGATATAACTTTTTTCTCATTTTTTAATTTATGTAGATTTTATGTTTTGATAATTACAAAATGTAATATATCTTGTGATTTTATAGCCAATCATTGTTCTGACAAATATTAGGTATGGAAATAGTAATCAATCAGTCACAAACACACTTGACAGGTGAGTACATGTCCACCTGTCTTGGCCACATAATTTTGTCTAGAAATACTGTACCTTGAAATTGAGCTCAAAGTAGCAGAAATGTTCAATTTTTGCCGACGTTTAAGAGTAAACAAAACACCACGCATCCAATACACGTCAACTGGTGAGTGTAATATTCTTTTACAAGTCCACTGATATTATTTACACAATTTTTACAATAATGCAGCAGTCTCCATAAGAGTAAATCTTCTATTTTTTGTGAGAATAAAAATTTAAAATGGAAAGCAAGAGTAATGTAAGAGGGACCTGGCGACGAGACTAATGAACAGAGAAAATGTTATTTTAGGAATGTGTCTTGTTTATTCTGAGCGCTATTCTGAAATTGGCATCTTTTGAAATTTGCACGAAATTGGCCAAATTGCCAATTTCTGACCACTTTCTTGGGTAGTTGAAATCGGTAAATGGGTGGTTTGTTGTACTCAATTGATAGAACAAAGGGAGTTCTAGCAAAATAGCTATGATTTTAGTCCACTGGAACAATGGAATTCACTGAAAATAAGGCTCAAATTGGGCGAAAATGCCGATGCATAAATATCGCTAACTTCGCGAGAGCGTAATTTCATAAGTTTTCCACCAAATTTCATACTTTTGGTGTCAATACTATCGACAAAAAGATTCTCTATCATTTCATAAGATTTTTTTTTTTTTTTTTTTTTTTTTTTTTTTTTTTTTTTTGACAATTTTCCAATCCTGAGAGTGAGTTAAGGATCGGGGGTCTTGACCCTGAAAAGGTTAATACAGTGGACCCCCGGTTAACGATATTTTTTCACTCCAGAAGTATGTTCAGGTGCCAGTACTGACCGAATTTGTTCCCATAAGAAATATTGTGAAGTAGATTAGTCCATTTCAGACCCCCAAACATACACGTACAAACGCACTTACATAAATACACTTACATAATTGGTCACATTTGGAGGTAATCGTTATGCGGGGGTCCACTGTACTAGGTCCTTCTTATTTGGTATAGTACTACTGGTCTCTCTTATCCTTGTGCCATCCTCTTCCTGTATCTCTCTTCTCCTTCCATCTTGTTGTTGGGGTTTATAGAGCTACTGACAGCTTAAATTGTATCTTGTTGTTGGTTTATAGAGTTGCTGACATCTTAAATTGTATCTTCTTCTTGTTGGTTGATAGAGCTACTGACAACTCAAATTTTTTCTTGTAGGTTTATAGGGCTACTGACAGCTTATATTGTATCTTCTTTCTAGTGGTTTATAGGGCTACTGACAGCTTATATTGTATCTTCTTTCTAGTGGTTTATAGAGCTACTGACAGCTTATATTGTATCTTCTTTCTAGTGGTTTATAGGGCTACTGACAGCTTATATTGTATCTTCTTTCTAGTGGTTTATAGGGCTACTGACAGCTTATGCCATATTGAGCTCTGCCTTGCAGTGTCCAGGGAAGAACTCTCATCCAAACTGAAAGTAAGATGACTTGCAGACGTGTATTCCTCACTTTCATCTCTTTCTTCCACTTCCTCATTTTCTTGAATTGATGTTATATTCTTTTCATTTATCTTTGCAGCCTGGCAAGTTGTGTCCACATGCCAAGAAAGCCATCAACATAAGCATCCGGTCTGGGAGTCTGGCCATCTTGATCGTGGACATGATAGAACACCTGGTCAACATGGAGCATCCTCTGGCAGTAACATTTGAGAGTATGCACTTAAACATGTCCATGCTATTCTTTGCTATGTTGGGTTGCTACCTCACCTGCATCACCGTCAGGACCTGCTCGGTGAGCATCTCTCATTGCTGACCTCACTTTATCACATGCCTATAGGTAGGCTTGCCATATGTCCTGTTTTGACCAGGATTGTCCCAGTTTGAAAGTCCTGTCCTGAAGTTCCTGTCAGTTTGTCATTTTGTCCTGGACAGAAACATCACTGATGATCAATGTATGGTGTCAGGAAAGAGGTAGAATGACTGAATATACAGTGGACCCCCGGTATTCGATATTAATCCGTTCCTGAGAGCTCATCGAATACCGATAATATCGAAAACCGAATCAATTTTCCTCATAAGAAATAATGGAAATCAAATTAATCCGTGCAAGACACCCAAAAGTATGAAAAAAAAAATTTTTACTACATGAAATATTAAGTTTAATGCAATAGAATAATTACAATAACAATAAAATAATTGACACTTACCTTTAATGAAGATCTGGTGATGATTGATCGGATGGGAGGAGGGGAGAGGTGTTAGTGTTTAGAAGGGGAATCCCCTTCCATTAGGACTTGAGGTAGCAAGTCCTTTTCCGGGGTTACTTCCCTTCCTCTTTTAATGCCACTAGGACCAGCTTGAGAGTCACTGGACTTCTGTCGCACAACATAACTGGCAGCCTCACCATGCCTAATCACACTATGTATGCCACTTTCTTCTTTCAACACACCGGCCATATCCCACCGAGGCGGGGTGGCCCAAAAGGAAAAATGAAAGTTTCTCCTTTTACATTTAGTAATATATACACGAGAAGAGGTTAGTAGCCCCATGCTCCCAGCATTTTAGTCACCTCTTACAACATGCATGGCTTATGGAGGAAGAATTCTGTTCCACTTCCCCATGGAGATAAGAGGAAATAAACAAGAACTAGAAAGAAAATAAAAGAAAACCCAGAGGGGTGTGTATATATATATATATGCTTGTACATGTATGTGTAGTGTGACCTAAGTGTAAGTAGAAGTAGCAAGACGTACCTGAAATCTTGCATGTTTATGAGACAGAAAAAAGGACACCAGCAATCCTACAATTATGTAAAATAATTACAGGCTTTCGTTTTACACTCACTTGGCAGGACGGTAGTACCTCCCTGGGCGGTTGCTGTCTACCAACCTACTACCTAGGATGTATGCCACTACGATTCTTAAATCTTTCAAACCAACCTTTGCTGGCCTTAAATTCACTCACATCACCACTAGTTGCAGGCAATTTCTTTACCAAATCATCATGCAACTGCCTAGCCTTTTCACAAATGATCGCTTGAGAGATGCTATCTCCTGCTATCTGTTTTTCATTTATCCACACCAATAACAATCTCTCAACGTTTTCTAACACTTGCGGTCGCTGTTTCGTAATCACAGTTGCACCTTTTGCAAGAACAGCTTCCTTGATTGCCGTTTTCCTGGTCACTATAGTAGAGATGGTTGATTGGGGTTTATTGTACAACCTGACCAGCTCCGACACACGCACTCCACTTTCGTACTTTGCAATTATCTCTTTCTTCATTTCATAAGTCATTAGCGACTTTTTTCTCGAAGGGTTGGCACTAGAAGCTTTCTTGGGGCCCATGGTGACTTATTTTGCAGAAACAAGCACCAAACACAGTGATAATATGGATAATATGGAATGTACCGAATGTATCCTTAGATGCGCGCACACTGGCTGGCTTGTAAACACTAGCACACACGGGGCAGTTCAGGCCACACGTGGACAGGTCTCGTATGAATCGTATCGAATACCGAGGAAAAAATTTTGCATTAAAATGCATCGAAAACCAGATTTATCGAATACCGATGACATCGAATACCAGGGGTCCACTGTACAGTAAAAGAGCAAATGTACTCAAAATAAACATAGATTTAAGTTGCTGTGAGTTTTATGAAGAAAAAAATAAACCATTACCAAGGAAGGTTCATTCTAGTGAGATATACAAATGATTCTCCAGAGAGTGATTCCATACGTTCTTCTTTTTGTTCTTTTTCACTCTGTAGTGCTTGAGGAACTGGTACTTTGTAGCTCTTAATTGCTCACATTAGAGAAAATATTCCTACTTCATATTTCATGTATATTTTTTTTCAAAAGCTTAAAAATGTTCCAGTTTCGGTCAAAGAAATTATGGTAAGCCTACCTGGAGGTCATGTACATGTGTCGTGTGAATATTATGCAAAGATTTCAAAGCTAGAGATTGGAAGGTGTGGGGTTACTAGATGTGTGATTCAGAGGATTGTTGACAATTTAGTGTGGTGATTAGGGCATTTAGAGAGAACTGAGCAAAACAGGGAGAAGGAGGGCTAAGGGTCACCACAGAGAGAGATGGAGACACAGAGTAATGGAGGTTTTAACCCTTAAGCTGCCCATAGCTCCCAAGTTAAAAGCCCCTTCTGTGTCTTTTATTATTAAATTTTTTTCTTTATCTTTCTAAAGTTTTTTAACACACTGGCTGTCTCCCACTGAGGTATGATGAGCTAAAAAAGGAGAAATACTTTCATCATCACTCACTCCATCACTGTCTTGCCAGAAGGGTGCCAGTACTAAGGTTCAAAACTGTAAATATCCCTTCCCCTTCTTCAGAGTACAGGTACTGTACTTTCCACTTCCAGAACTGTAACATTCTCACTCATCCTTCAGAGTACAGGTACTGTACTTCTCACCTCCAGAACTGTAACATCCTCACTCGTCCTTCAGAGTACAGGCACTGTACTTCCCACCTCCAGAACTGTAACATCCTCACTCATCCTTCAGAGTACAGGTACTGTACTTCCCACCTCCAGAACTGTAACATCCTCACTCATCCTTCAGAGTACAGGTACTGTACTTCCCACCTCCAGAACTGTAACATCCTCACTCATCCTTCAGAGTACAGGTACTGTACTTCCCACCTCCAGGACTGTAACATCCTCACTCATCCTTCAGAGTACAGGTACTGTACTTCCCACCTCCAGTACTGTAACATCCTCACTCATCCTTCAGAGTACAGGTACTGTACTTCCCACCTACAGGACTGTAACATCCTCACTCATCCTTCAGAGTACAGGTACTGTACTTCCCACCTCCAGAACTGTAACATCCTCACTCATCCTTCAGAGTACAGGTACTGTACTTCCCACCTCCAGAACTGTAACATCCTCACTCATCCTTCAGAGTACAGGTACTGTACTTCCCACTTCCAGAACTGTAACATCCTCACTCATCCTTCAGAGTACAGGCACTGTACTTCCCACCTCCAGAACTGTAACATCCTCACTCATCCTTCAGAGTACAGGCACTGTACTTCCCACCTCCAGAACTGTAACATCCTCACTCATCCTTCAGAGTACAGGTACTGTACTTCCCACCTCCAGGACTGTAACATCCTCACTCATCCTTCAGAGTATAGGTACTGTACTTCCCACCTCCAGAACTGTAACATCCTCACTCATCCTTCAGAGTACAGGCACTATACTTCCCACCTCCAGGACTCAAGTCCATAATGATGCCAAAAATAGAAAATTTGGTGTAAGATTCATTGAATTACACAGGTGTAAAGTTGGAGGTCATGGATCACTTCATTCAACATCTATTTTGCCCACTTTGAGATCTATTCAAGTGCTCAAATTTACTCAACTCATGGCTCTTTCACTATTATGCCTATTTAACCATCAGAACTAAATGTTCATAATTTGACCAGATTTACAGTAAAGCAAACACCATGGACATTCCAACCACTAAAGTTACCATAACATTGTGACCAGGACTGTTACAGTAACATTGTGACCAAGACTGTTACAGTAACATTGTGATCTGAACTGTTACAGTAACTTTGTGACCCAGACTGTTACAGTAACATTGTGCCAAGGACTGTTACAGTAACATTGTGACCAAGACTGTTACAGTAACATTGTGATCTGAACCGTTACAGTAACATTGTGACCAGGACTGTTACAGTAACATTGTGCCCAGGACTGTTACAGTAACACTGTGACCCGGACTGTTACAGTAACATTGTGACCAGGACTGTTACAGTAACATCGTGCCCAGGACTGTTACAGTAACATTGTGTCCAGGACTGTTACAGTAACATTGTGACCAGGACTGTTACAGTAACATTGTGACCAGGACTGTTACAGTAACATTGTACCCAGGACTGTTACAGTAACATTGTGCCCAGGACTGTTACAGTAACATTGTGCCCAGGACTGTTACAGTAACATTGTGCCCAGGACTGTTACAGTAACATTGTGACCAGGACTGTTACAGTAACATTGTGACCAGGACTGTTACAGTAACATTGTGTCCAGGACTGTTACAGTAACATTGTTCCCAGGACTGTTACAGTAACATTGTGACCAGGACTGTTCCAGTAACATTGTTCCCAGGACTGTTACAGTAACATTGTGCCCAGGACTGTTACAGTAACATTGTGCCCAGGACTGTTACAGTAACAATGTGACCAGGACTGTTACAGTAACATTGTGCCCAGGACTGTTACAGTAACATTGTGCCCAGGACTGTTACAGTAACATTGTGCCCAGGACTGTTACAGTAACAATGTGCCCAGGACTGTTACAGTAACAATGTGACCAGGACTGTTACAGTAACAATGTGACCAGGACTGTTACAGTAACATTGTGCCCAGGACTGTTACAGTAACATTGTACCCAGGACTGTTACAGTAACATTGTGACCAGGACTGTTACAGTAACAATGTGACCAGGACTGTTACAGTAACAATGTGACCAGGACTGTTACAGTAACAATGTGCCCAGGACTGTTACAGTAACATTGTACCCAGGACTGTTACAGTAACATTGTGACCAGGACTGTTACAGTAACATTGTGCCGAGGACTGTTACAGTAACATTGTGACCAGGACTGTTACAGTAACAATGTGCCCAGGACTGTTACAGTAACAATGTGACCAGGACTGTTACAGTAACATTGTGCCCAGGACTGTTACAGTAACATTGTGCCCAGGACTGTTACAGTAACATTGTGCCCAGGACTGTTACAGTAACATTGTGACCAGGACTGTTACAG